ATGACACCCCACCAGGTTCATCAGAAGACAGACATTTCCTGTGGCCTCCTTAGGAACACCAATCCTTCTGTAGCTCTTGGTCAGACAGCTCCCAGGCTGACCAGTTTAAGATCTCATAGGCTCCACCAGCTTGACTGTTACTGTTTGTAAATTGTTAGTTAATGTTGTAAATTCTGTGGAATTACAGAACACTGCTGGTGGCTGAATCCACCTCCTCCAACTGCAGGCAATTATTCAGGCACCTAGATCTGAGTTAGTTGTTCAGACTTTACAATCAATGGAAAGAAACATGCTTTAATAGCACGTCATTCTCTCATTGTAATGTACACTTCTAAGCTATAGTATGACTTATCTGACATGTAAGTGCTTATTTCTTCCCACTAATTATTAAAAAAGACTGATATATCTAGATGATAGATGCCTAAAACCAGGGAAAATGTAGCTAGTATGCCACTCATCAACGTTTCTGAAAGAAATACTTGTGAAACTTTCACTTTGTATGCAATATCTGAAAAATTTGCTCTTGCTCCAAGCTGGAATGGAAACAGATTTCTGAATATCCTAATTACTCACAAGTCAGGAATCACACTTTTGCATCAAGTAAGAACTGGCTCTAGGAAAAATCCATCACTGCCATCTCATCAGAATTCTGGGAGTTTAATTTTTTCCTACAGGTTGGAAGGTCATCTACCTAAACAGCGTCATTTTAAGACTTTTAGCAACAATTGCTAGAAATTAGTGTAAGTAAGTCCAGAAAAACTATTTGAAAAATGAGGAGAGTACCATATAAGAAGAAACGTTATTGAGCCTTTCTGAAGACAAATAAAAATTGGATTAACTTGGTCTGTATACACCTCGAGGACAGAAAGAAAAAATCATGCACATGAGGAGGCCATTATTTTATTACAAGAAGACATAACAAGAGTTAAAGACAATACCCCAGGTAAATCCAGACAAGAAATTAGGCCAACATTCATATAGGTAGAGTGGCATACCATTGATACAAACTGTCAAAGATAGCAGAAGGAACTTCTCTATGTGCCTCCCTCTCAGGGCAAGAAGACTTCTAGTTACTATCTAGCCAAGAACAAGCTGTGTTTTGATTAAATATAAATACTGTATCTCAGGAGAGACATGAAACGTAATGGCATATAACAGCAAAGTATTCAGACTACACATGATCTAGGACAGATGTACACTGCAAAATAATGCTCAACAGAAAAACTCTAACTAGCAGAAGTCCCTTCAGGCCTTCAGGCCTATAAATCTATGACATACTGATTGCATTATGCTCTTCTATATTGTTTGCTATGTGATTACCCTACTTGATTAACCTGCTCCTGCTTGGTAATGAGAGAATGGTTCCACATCACAATTTCTCTGTTAGTAAAGCTATTTTAACAGAACCCTCTCTGTCTCAATCCCCTATATTTGCCACATCACATCCAGTTTATCACACTCCTCTGTTGTTCTGACTTTCTTTTCCAGTGGGTCTACACTGTAAAGCAGCTTAGCAAAAAGACTTCGATTTAAAATACGTTCCCTCCTCCCCCAGTGTAAAGACAACTGATTTAGACCTTTGAACCAAGCAACAGGAGAGGATCGTTTTACAGTGTGTTACACTCAAATATTGTCTATGTGAATATTGGAAGCTTCAATTATCAGTATGTAACATGATGCATTTCTTGGTTACTCATGATCTACTATGTTTTCCATTCACTTATCATCTTCATATTATGATGAGTGAAATTACCAGACCTAGCCTTTGCTGTAATTTTATTAGTACCAAGCTAAGCATCTATTACGTAGATTAGGGTGAGGGTATTGGGGCTTTCCTTTAATTACTGAAATGTCATTCTTCATGAGTGATGACGAGAACAAGCTATGGAAAACCAATGTGCTAACTGATTACAGCAAGGCCCTCCAAACGGTGAAAAACATTGTGTAGAAGAGGACAATTCCCTAGAGAAGTATACTACAAGGTTAAATGCTTCCATTTGAGACTGTTTGAACTGCTTTTGTAGAACAAGATAGTTCACGAAGCACAGTGATAAGAGATTCAGTATTACCTATATAATTCATCAAGATGGCCTTGAGAATCAAAGTCTTCATTTTGAGCGTCACTAAGTGCAATGCATGACTTCCTTATCACAGTATTAGATCACAAACTCTCTGCTATCAAAGCATCACATCCAGGTGGGGCTTGTGTCTGCCCTAACTCAATATAACCCACTGTGAAATCAATGAGACTACTACTGTTGACCTTAACAGGAGTCAGACTAGAGTAAAAAAAACAGAGATGGAAAAAGTATTGATTAATCAAGCCCTTTTTCCCAGTTGAACTATGATACTACAAAAAGTATCACAGTTGAAGGGGTTTCTTCCATCATGCTGTGCTAGTCTGTACGTAATAATGAGCTTGAAGTGACTATTATGTTTATCCCAGTGTGAAATATAAGTTTTAGCTAACAAACCTATTGAAAAAGTTTATGTGATCATTTTTTATCATTTTATAGTCTTCTGTAAGTGCATTCTTAGGATACCCTATTACCATAGAAACCAAAAAACCTCTTCTTTTCCTGCTCACGACATTCTAGAAGTATTGTATTCTCTGTGTGCTTTATCAGCAAGACATTGAAAGGATACTTAATTGAACAGTCAAAGAACAGATCTCCACAAATCAGTTGGACCTTAAACACATTAATAGCCATATCAGATATAAAATTAACTAACTTCCTTTTCTTCAGGTATTAGTAACAGTCATTCAGCTGATCAGCATCAAAAATAAATAAAGAAAAAAAGAAAAAAAAAAAAAAAAGGCAATTGCAGCTGGAACTTGCCACCAGTGTTTCACATATTTCTGGGTAGTCTTGTCATTCTGATTCAATCCATTATTAAAATAGTAGTTTGTTTCAAGAAGAACTGATAATATGTACTGTCCCCATTATACAGATGGAAAAGCTGAATTAGAGTTTTGAAATTAGTTATTAAGAGGAAAAGATGAAATATGACTAAGATAACTTCCCATTTTTGCATATGCAATACCAGATAAATGTCAGCTCCATGCTATTTAGCTTCCTGCTAAAGAAAATAAGTAGAAATGTATGCATTGTAATTTGTTCAAAATCTAATTATTCTGTTTGATGAGAAATAAGTCTTTCCTAGAGTGCTAATTGTCACGTACTTTCTTAAAGAGGAAAGAAAAAGACAATTTCTAAAAAAAAACTTAGTATCACAAAAAATTAAGACAGCTTAGTCTTGTTCTTCATTCCAGCTTCATTTATTTCCTTCTTTTAATACAATTTAAGAGATTTCACACTTTAGTAAGAGCCCTTCAGTCTTCTGCCATAAAATAGACTTGTCCAGACATTACATTAAAACATTAAAAGAAAGTAAACTCAGATGGACAAATTAGGTTCTTGTCTTATGGAGAAGAACAGCAAACATCACTGTTTAAACAGAGGTCTAGAATGTCAGAAATGTGAAGCAAATCCCCCTCTTTACGTATCTAGACTTGTTCTTCCTTTTAACATCATACCTGGAAAAAATATGGCTACCACCTCAAAACAGTCCCGTAAAGGTCTGAAAGCAATGGGACATCTAAAAAACACCTAAGCTACATGAAGAATCTGGTTGAGCTGTTTAACCTAAAGAAAAGAAGACCAAAGAGGAAATTAATAGTTTTCTAGGATGGACAACACTGTTGTAAAGAGGAAGAAAATAATAGATACTCTTTAGTCATAGTGTATAAGACAAGAGGTAATGGGCTTGCACTGCAGAATGAAAGATTCCAGTCAGACACAAGGACAAAAAGACTGGTTTCTGACTTGTGGTTTCAGAAGTCAGTAAAAATAGGCATACAGATCGCTGTAACAAAAGGTATAGGCTTAGTGGATATTGTCTTAGGAGAGGGAAACGGACAAAGAGATTTCAAGATGATTTCTGTGTTTACTGGGTCACTAGGGAGATGCATCAGTTGACTGAAAATAGTAGGCTGTCTTTCACATGAATTATAGAAAGCCTTTAGTCTGAGCAGTTTTTCTGATTTCAGTTGAGGAAAAAAATAAAAGTGCTTATTTGCTTTGAATTTGCAACTCCCAAAACACAAACAATACCCTGATACAAGATAGCCCTAAAACACATGCTTGAATTCCTCCCTGTTCAGGAGGCCATGCAAGCAGGGCTCAAGCATATTGTTGTTATTCTGAATCAAAGACCTGAATCTGTTCTGCTTCCTGAAACATGACCATTAACACCCAACACAAGCTTTTTCAATTAACCACAACTCATTATATTGTTATCTCTTTTTAAAAAAACATGTATATCATCCAGGTTACCTTTCTTATCTATGTGGTTCTTGCCATCTGCTGGCAGATATTTTATGTTGTCAATTTAAAATGCACATATTACTTGGAAATTAATGAAAAATAATTAGGAAAAATGTTGAAAGCTGTATTAGTAACGAGCCTATACTATATGCAAATATTGGTTATTAATGTTGTGTCTCAAAAACTTTGAGAAAATTTATTCAATCAATATTAAGATTAAAGCACTTCTGAAATACAAACTTAACACAGTACATATGCTATATTACCAAAGGAATCATTACAATATAGCATCTAATCCCTAGGAGAAATTCTACAGATGACAAACCAGTAGTAAATCAATTACTTCACCTTCAGATGAAGTGTAGTCATTCAATTCCATACAAGTAATACTGTACAAAAGAGATGGCCTTGCTGGGGTTGCCTTTTTATGTAATATAGATGTTGAATAAGAATGAGTTCAATTCATATGGAAACAGAAAACTGTCTAAGACTGTAATGCAAAATACCAAAGAACACCTGGGCCTTGAGCTTTACTAACCTTCATGTTTAAGTACACGGATTTTAAGAATGGTTGCTTATATGGATAGGCTCTCTTTTCAGTAGCATTCAAAAAAGAAAGGAGCACCCTTGCTAACATTTCACATTATTAGCATTTAAGAGTAATCCACATACCTGGTTTTAATGTCTTGATTGCCACAGGGGTGGTATTATTCCACAGTCCTTGCCATACCTCACCAAACTGGCCAGATCCTAATTTTTTCAACAATTTCAGAGATTGTCGGTCTATTTCCCACTGATCGACAGTTTTATATGATAAATCAAAAGTAGTAGGAATTTGTATCTGGTAAAAGAAAATAAATAATACAGTAATTGAGACTTCTAATATTTGTTCAACAGCATATACAAGTCATTGTTAACTGTAGGATGAGGGGTATTAAACTAGAAACAGGTAGATTTAGACTGGATATTAGGAAGAAGTTCTTTACCATAAGGGTGGTAAAGCACTGGAACAGTTTGTCCAGAGTCAGAGATGTCCCTGCCCACTGCAGGGGGGTTGGACTAGATGACCTTTGAGGGTCCCTTCCAGCCCAATGCATTTTATGATTCTATTATTCTATATCATGTACAGTTGTAACTGATATAAACAATGTCTCCTTAGAGTACACACACATGATAAAGTGAGCTAAGAATATAAAATACAGCTCACATCCTGGGTACTTTTTGTTAGAAATAAGAACTACTTTAAAGAAAATATCCTTCCATTAAAAGTTAAAATTAGAAACCATCCTTCTAGCAAGCTTTTTGAACAGTGACATATTGCTTGCCTGAACCTTGTGGGTTTGTCTCAGTAATTGCTTACGGACAGCTAGAGTTATGAAGTTGGAGATTTCATCTCCATATACATTTATAAAAAGGTATTAATGAATAATGATTTGTCATATTTTCTCCTACAGCCACACAATGATTTGTTCAAAGTGGCACGGTATTTAATTATTAACAAGCCAACTTCAAGAATGAAACTGTAGCACTACACAGAACTTCCTAGAAAATAAGCAGATCATCAACATTTTGAAATGGTAGAAGCAGATATGTGGTTAACACCTTCTGACTGACACCTGATGAGTCAGCTTACAGAAAATACATTGCACAGTGTAGCATCCGCTCCTACCTTTAGGCATGGCTTTCCGAGCACCACACAGAGGCCATCACTGTTCTTACTGTAATAGTCAACAATTTCATTCAGAGTTTTGAAAGTTTTCCTTCTGCTTAGGAAAAAGCCTCCTTCATCCAGCTTTCTGATCCTGTAGTGCTTCACAGATACACCATCAAAAACTAAGAAGATTTAAATATATTAAGTTTCCAGGAATTATAGCAATAGTACAATATAGCTTATGGACAAACCATGATAAGTTTCCTAAACGTATTTATTGGGGCCTTAAAATAAATTATTTTAGTTTCAAAGATGACAACTATAAGAAAACCTCTTTCAAACCAAAGCCCACTCTTTAGACAGCTTAATATATCTAATCTATCAGTCTTCAACCATTCAGGTTCGGAGATTCTTGCTTACACCATAAGAAATGACACAAAAATACATAAATACATCTTCTGTGATGCAGCTCATATTTTCCATCTTTTAGGACACCAAAATCAGCCAGGAGCAACTAATTCACAGTAACCATGTAATCAATTTACTATATTTCATTTATCAGTGTTAACATTCCAAATAGCAGCTGCTGGGCTGGCAGGCATTTTAGAGCAAACGGATATATCCTTCACATGGCCATGATTCTCTGAAAAGCATTCATGTCTTCCATGGGTTTTACTGAGCTTTGTGCATGTTTGGAGTATGTAAAAATCAGGCCAATAATGTTTTTTTTTCAAGTAGCTAATGACTCCCTTTCCACTGAAATATGTTTTATTCTGATCTTGTACTAATGTTGTTTGCTCACCAAGACTTTTGTCTTCTCACCTCCTGTAGGTTATTTACCTGCATGTCATGACACCCAGTGTCCTCCCCTGTGACCATCAGAGCACTCTTTAGAGGTGTCAGAAAGAAGGCTGGGCCACTGCACGCTAGGGCTAGGCCTGGACCATCAGCACAACCAGAGATAGACAAAAAATGCACTGCCACTCGCAGAGTGCATTATTTAAGGGATAGTAGGCTTGTAATTGCCATTTCTGACGTCTCCATCATATAGGGCTTAGAGCACTGGTCTACAAAGCAGGGTGTGTCCCAGGGACTGTGCAAGATTGGGATGTGGGAAAAAAGTATTTTTGGTACTATTAATAAATAAAATAAAATAAATATTTTAAAAATACTGTTTATTTCACCTTTATCTCATCCTTTTTAATTTATTTTATTTTTGAGTATGTTCTATAATGTATAAAATACCAGTACAGTGGTACAGGTATATAATAAATGAATAAATAAACAAACATATATCAGGGGTGAATACTCAAAAATCTATTTACCGGTAGAGGTGCACAATCAAAAAAGTTCAGAGATCACTAGCTTAGAGACCTCCTTTATAGAGGTATATCAGTAGTAGCAACGGTGGGCTGAGCATCAGCAGACAGGGCAGTTCTGAAGACCTGGAAAGGGATTTAGTCGCTTACATGGAGTGTCATTTAGCTTGACACTCCATGACTGAGACGCCACTGTCCATTTCCAATGGGCAACGGGGTGTTTATGTTACATACTGAGTGGTAACTGATTTAGTTCCTACCAGTGCTATGGCTGTTACCTCTAATATTGTGTTCCATAATGAACCTAGCTGGTAATGAGGAATCCTGACCATCTAAAGCATAACTTAAGAGGAAAGGTGTTTAAGAAATAGGATAAATTTTCTGCATCTCAAAAAGAAGATACATGCATCAGTGGAAGGAGGTTTTCTGATCCTAGGAATTTCAGGTGGAAAAATGCACAGAGCTCAAGGAATGGAACCAAGCTGTAATGTGATTAAGTGAGAAACAAGCATTTGAAAGTGTGGAGAGGTTTTTTTGACACTTGTCAGAGCTGGTGTGGGAGCAAGGTGAAAGGACCCAGGCTGTCCAATTAGGGTGAGGGCCAGTAAGACTGAGAATCGAGCCAAAATGAGAATAGGAATCATCCAGTGAGTCTAGAGAATGGCCAGAAGGAGAAACACTGGAGCAGGACTAAATGTGAAGCACCACATTTTGGAAAAAGACACATAGCAATAGGTAAAAAAAGGGTATAAAAATCAGAGGGGTATCCCACCCTGCATTTAATGAAACAGCACAGTGCTTTTCCATGATGAGTAGAGAAAGAGTTCTCAAGGGGAGGAGGATGCTTCAGTTGCCATCCTGGTCCTCATCACCCAACATTACACCTTTTCAATAGGCAGGTGTCTCTTTCCACACCCATTGATGTGTGAGATTACCATTGTCCCCTTCTCAGGCCCCTCAAGCAAGACTAAAGTCTGAAAAGCAAAAGGGAGGCATAAGGGAAAGCCCTTCTGCTGTTTACCTCCAATATACTTTTTAGTAGACAAAATTCCAGCAAACATATTCAATTTGGTCATGTTGACTAGCGGGTACTCTTAGTTAAACAATTTAATGGAAATACGTTTCAGTCCTAGAAGCATTCTAGGTACGTTCGAGAATCTAATTATCAAAAAAATTGTTATTGCTTTCCTCGGAAGATGCTATAGCTGATAGATCCTTGATACTGTAACTGCATGAATTTTTGGCTTTGGTTACAGTAACAGGAGAATTCACAGCTGCATACTGGATGTAGATAAAATATAGAAAATTATTGGTTGCATGCAATTAACAAAGCTGATATAAAATATAATTTCTCTCACTATATAAGTGATTAAGTTAAGAATGAAAATCTCTACTTCCTTAAGTACTACCATGTATGAGCAAATATTTTTCTACCTGTGCCGTGCGATTGTCATCCAAGGCCACCAGAGGGCATACAGGAGCTGTTGAAAATTTATGGGGATTTTGCCACAGTATTTTTAGAGGCCTGAGAACTTACAATTTTGCATGAGGACCAGAAATGAGAATATTTGTAAATACAACTCCAGTGTATAAAGATAATTACATCACACATGCCATTTCTTTTTAGTTTAACACCCATAGGTGGTGTGTTTTATTTATAAAATGCATGTATATTTTTGTGGTGCATCTTTTGAAAGGGGCTGAAGCAAAATGAAGGAAAGAGTAATTCAGTAACAGACTGAAAATGTAATGACTTTTCCAAAGTTCACAGGAAAGTGCATCTGGCCAAATGAATTGCTATTTATGATGCATTGGATAAAAGGCCAGCAGATTGACTATGTTAATCCAGGCTCAGTTGTATATCACAAGTGATAGTAGTTTGACTACGTGCTTTATTTATTAGCAGTATTATAATTATTACTTGTGAAGCAGCTACTGTTAATGCAAGAGCTTGTTTGAAGGATGTGCTTTAATTTCTTATATGAGCCTTGTATGAAGTCTTATGATTGGCAGTATCCAGGTCAGGCACTGATGTGTGTGGAGAAACTGGAGAAAATTTCTGCACCAGTACCATCTCTTCTTGTGATAAGCAGCTGAGGTTAGTGCAGAATCTGACAGGGGGCTGTTTACTTGTATCCCAGGGCTGTGTCTGGCTGTACAGGTCCTACACTGCACACTCGCAGCACTGCAGCATGATGCAGCTCCTCTGCCCAACACAACAGAGACCGCGTGTCTCAGGAAAGAGCTAGCCACAAACCTCTCAAGTGTTTCCCTATGTCCATGCCAGACTGCTAAACAGGACAGGATCACAACTTCAGCTTCACACAGCCTGACAGCAGCTGGGTTTGAAGACTGCAGTGGTTTTCCCCTCAACTTGCCCTTCCGAAAAGAATCACAGCTCCCCATTAGTTTTCTTCATTGTTTCAGTTTAATAGAAGCATTCTTCTCTCCCTGCTTCCCATCTTCATAAGGCTGGGCCACACAGAAGTAAATTTTGCCACCCCAAGGAAGCGAATAAAATAATTTATTACTCCTGCCCGAGGGCAGCAAAATTTATGGTGGTATCAGCAGAGTCAACATCTTCACCAGATGAATCATGGAGACACTAAGGCGCCATTACTGCCAGTGTCCCAGCACGTCTCCTGTCAGCAGTCCTCCTCCAGCACTGCCAGTGCAGCTCTGCTGACAGGAGCTGTGCTCGGTCTCCATGACCAGGGTGGATGTGGGAGGAGGGTGGCTTATGAGATCACCTTCACCAGCACAGAATGGGTGCAGGGGCTGATCCAAAATCATTCTCCTGCTGTGGTCGTGATTTTGCCACTCCTACCAGTCTGCTGCCCTAAACAATTACCTATTATTCCCTATGCTGAAAGCCAATCTGGCCTAGAGGAAACCAAACAATCTTTTTCTAGGAGCATGGAAAAAAAAAATGGAAGAAAACACAAACCATTTACATTGTCATTTAATGCAATCAGTCTTTCAGATACCTTTATTCAGTGAGGGAGGAAGTAGAGAGCCTCCTGCTATCATTGGCAATGACACTCAATTAAGCTGAGCACAGCTAAATTATTGCTTTTAATTAAAAAGAGGTAATGCCTAAGATGGCACCAGCATGTTTAAAATTTAATACATTTCACACCAGATGCTGGAGTCATCAACATAAAAATCTGTTGACAACATGTGCATTTTTAAAATGGGAAAACCTATTTTTAAAATGTCAAACACTTTAAAATGATAGCAACACATCTCAGTGGCCTAGCTGGTTTGATGAGCTTTCCATTTAACCATTCACAGACGAGAAAAACCTTTCTGAACATGACTTTTTGTTTTTAATTTAAATAGTTATTTATCACCTAAATCTTACAAATTGTGAGTTTTCCCATTAAGGCAAGTTAGAAGTAAGAAGTGACATTTTAATGAGATGTAGGGTCTATTTCTTTTTCTTTTTTTTTTTCCTAAGGAGATCCATTTGTTTCCCTCGTCAACATTAAGTCTCTTATACATTGCCCATATGAGTATGAAATCAAGCATGAAAGCCATGAGAGTTTATGAGTGCTTGGGTAAAAATCTCTCTCCCTTTTCTACTTCTTTTCTTTGTTAGCTTTATTACACTTAAATGTTAGGCTGGACAGAGAATTACAATATTTTCTTAAAGACGTTGATTCTGAAACCCAGGTTATCATTCTTCTAGACATTATTTTCTACTCTGGAATGAAAATAAAACAGCAATAGAAAGTACAGCAAATCCAACCAGTCCTACAGAGGATGGGAGTTTGGGCGTCTATTTTTTCTGCACTGAAAAAAATGGAAACAGAAATTAGGGATATATTCTAAAATATCGGGCTGTGACTTCTCCCCTGCCAGTGTATCAGCTACCATGGAGACAGAAGCCATCCAAGACCTTTTAAAAGAAACAGTTCTGTATCGCTGTTCCTCAAGAAAACATGGCTTTTCTGCCTCAGCTTTGAGCGTCTCATAACTCCTTCTGATTGAACAAAGAAGAGAGAGTCAGAAAAATGCCTTCTTCATAGCACCTGGTGGACTAAACAACCTTCCTTCCAACTAATACTCCCCACAGTACAATTCACTTCATCATTTGCTTTCAAATGCACTAGCTCTCCCAAAAGTAGACAGAAGTAATGAGATTATGGACATACAAGACCACTAAGGATACCATTAGGTTGGAAGCAAAAAAATGTTGCACAACACAAACAGACACCATTCAGTCAAGCCTATTCAGTAAGCAGCAAATATTTAGCTCTTCAGGATGAAGTAGCATGTCGAGGTTAAATTACATTCAAGTCTGGGAAGCTGCTAAAAGATCTAGCAGCTCTGGTAAATCATGTCGTTAACACTTACTGTCTACAGACTGCTTCAGAGTTGATTTTTTGCCTAAAATAGCACAAATGTTTAATAAATCTGAGATGACACATATATACATGCATACATGGTCGGAGGGCAACCCGTGTTTGTGCATGAAGGAGTGCTGGCTCCTGCAGCTGGAGCAGTGCTTCCTTGTGTATTATGTTCTTCAGCACCACTCTTCCCTTCCTTCATCAAACGAACTGGCATGGAAGAAATCCACACTGATGGTTTCATATCTTGCTGTTACCAGCCATCATCAAATCCCCTGTTCCCAAATAAGTTTATACAGAAACCTGAAAAAATGTCTACCACAAGCTTTTAAAAATGAATCAAATATACTAAATCAGATAGAATATAGTTTCTATCAATGATTTGTAAGGAAAATATCAAAAAGAAGCATCAAAGGATGATCTCATCCTACCACAAATGCTGGCCTAATATTTATTTTCATTCTCTTGGATTTTTCTCTGCAGTACTTCATAGTTTAAATAAGATACTGCTGCCTTCCTGTTAGAGAATTAGTCAGGATGCAGGGTAAAGAATTAAGAATTTGAATCTTGCCTAGAAGACTACAGTAATAAAAATAAATTGCATTTCCACCCCCAGGTGAAAAAGCACAAGACTTTTCACTGATGTTTAGTGAAGTGTCACATATTCAAGCACAATCATTAAGCAGGTAATACAGGCCTATCTATCCTTCCCTGCATAACAGCACGCTGTTAACGTTCTAGCCGTCCTTGGATGAGATCAGTTCACTGATGAAGAACACTTGAAGGAAGCTGAAACCATGTAAGACAGGGATAAGTTGGCACATAGAGAGAAGGTATTTTGAAAGGTCTGCATCTATAATACAGTCTTTAGATAAAAGGGTGCACGCACAGGGGTCAGTTCTGTCACAGTTCAGGAGCAGTCTGATTCCTTGCTGGTGTTAGTTTTCTTATCAGCGTTTCTTGGCAAGAAAAAACTTCCTTGAGGGCAAACTGAAGACTAAGGATTGAACTCTCCCAGAACTGTAAACACCATATTTATTTCATAAACTTCCCTGTATTTCACTCCACAGGCAACACATATTTCTTTGTCTTGGCAATAAAAAGCAACCCTTCCATTACCACAAGACAGTGCAGGTGTACACCTGTTCTCATGATTTGGAAAGAGAAACCAAGAATGTGTCAAAAGTTCATTAAGCCACTTAATGTGTTTCTGTGTAATGCTCAGAAGGTGACTTACACATAAACAGCCAGGCAGAAGAGGAGTTAATGCGAAAGAATCTGGTTATGCACAAGGTGCTTCTCTGACATAATTCTGCACATGACAACTTATGGTTTATTAACAAACATCAAGAGTCTTTACTGGCATATGGAACTATATAGGTAGAGCACATTAGGAAGTTTGGGTGTCTAGCCCTGTTGTCTCAGGGACGTTGTGATGCTCTTGACTCAAACTTATATGACAAGTTTGATAGAAAATGTTTATCGAAAACAATCAATGAACAATCACACTTACTATCTAATATGGCAAATATCTATGACATGAAAAACATGACACGTACATATGTGAGTAAATAAAATTATTATCAAGTAAGTGTCCTTACGTGACAGTCTTTTGGATTCAAACAAAGGACTTCAAATAAATTTCAAAACCCATCATCATCATAAAACTAACTTTTTGCTGATATTTACAACTAACTTTTCAATAAAATATGCTTGATCCTAAAGTACAGCTTTGAAGATTTTCCTATCATTTTGCCCCTGAAAACAAACAAATACAAACCTAAGGGTGTGCTCTAGCAGAAATCTCATTTTATTAAATTTCAGATACCTGCCAACATGGTTTAATTTTTATTTTGTGTACTAATCAGAACAGTAGTGTACAACTGTAATGTATTTTATGGCATTTTAATCATGAAAACAGCTTCTATTTTAAGGCAGCTGGCTCACTGGAACTACTCAGCGTAAGAAATTTCTGAGCATAATTTCTATTCTGTTCTAAGCATAATTTCTGTTTGGAGCATATTAATAAACAAAGCCCATAAAATAAATGTTAGTAAAAACCGAAATGACTCTTGCCAAGTTTTCTTTAGAGATCCTCTGGGAAAGAAATATTACTATGAGCTGAATTTCGTTTTCATGCCCACAGTTTATCATTCTCAAAAATGAAAAAGTCCAGATCACCTGTGAAATTTTTAAAACATTGCTTAAGATGAAAAACTAGAATATACCTGAAAGTGAGTATTCGCCTTTTAGACTTTCGCTTTCTCGGATTAGGAAGGCTCCTGCCTGGTTTCCAGGGCATAACAGTTGTCTCTCGGCATCTGCTCGTCTGATTGGGCCAAAAAACCATCTGAACAAAGAAAAAATATTCTTATTACCAGTCAGTGAAACATACCAGGAAGACAATTTAGCTTTTATAAACATGCTGCATATTTACTAAAAGATAATCTGTGCTATGCTAATTAAATTCTAATAGCATTGGAGAAAAAAGCCAACAAGAACTACACAGCAAATTTATTGCTAGAAAAATTGCTTACATATTTGAGTGAAATCTGGATTTTACTGCTGATAGAAAGTCTTGCTGATTTCAAGGGAATGAGAATTCAGAAGTGACAGACTGGTCTTGTCCCAGGAAAAATTCACCAGGAAATTTTGCCAAGCCTACTGTGGCAAAAATTGATGCCAAGTCCAATGATGCCACCTGAACTATGTAGAGGTGTAGCTATGTGCTAATATCCCAACATCTTAAAAGTCAAAAGATCCCCGAAACTGCAGCAGGGTCCTCAGCTTCCAAGACGTAAATCAGCCTGCAGACTTCCCCATTCCACTGCCACGTCAACATCTCAAATGAGTTAAAGGCAACTTTTCAGCTCTGCTGCTGTTAGACAAACAAAACCAATATGTCCCTCAAGTCACTGCAAACATCTCAACAACTACGTTCCGTGAATATCTACTCCTATCTATGCCTTTTAAAACGTATTTTTCCTGTTGCACTAAACTCTGTAGTTTACAAGGACTTGTTCAAGCAATAGTTTTAGTTGCTCTTCTGAAGGTACTATCTAGCTCTCTTGCTGCTTTGTGCTGAGTGAAAATTAAATTAAATGACTGAGATGAGTCAGAGTTTTCTACTGGGGTGGCATTCAGCTTCCATCTGACAAACATACAAAGCTCTTTCCGAGGTTAGCTCCACCCCTTATTTGAAGCAAATGGTGATTAATAGTTATCAGAAATATGCCATATACTCATAAGAGAGCTCTTTTTAAACTAATCATATTTATGCAAATTTTAAAGATCAATCAATGCATCACACAACACGTAAGTTGCCTATTCAGTTAACTATTTGATTTGTCAATTACTAGTGAAAACTACTTCAGTATCTGTAAGGCTTGTAATCGTCAAGAGCAATGGAGGAAATAAAAAAGAACATTGGGTGACACCTTGGCTGAGCAAGTACAAGGAATGAAAAATGGTTTTGTATGAATAAAGAGGAAATAAAAAGAGGCAAATACTGATGGCACTAATGCACATTGAATATGCTTCGTCAACAAAAGAAAATGAAATCCAGATATTCCGGACTGTGTTCCTGTCCTCTGACTTGGAGGATAAAATAGGCCTTGATACATATTTGGCAAGGAAAAGAATCTCATTAGAAAGCTAGAATGAGTTAGTAATATTTTTAATTAGTTAAATGTGTTCATTAATTCAACTAATTAATTAAATTAATTCATTAACTAGACTGTAGAAAACTAACTAATCAATCAATGTTCAAATCCTTGACTGAGGTTCTTGTCAAAGGAATGACAGGACAGAGAACAAGTTCAACTCTATTCAATTCCCAGAGAAAATTTGTCTGCCATATAAAACTGAATCAGAATCTTTCTGAAATGCCTAAATCCACCTGCTCTGACAACAACAACTGAAAACTAACAAGCTATATCATCTGAAAAAAAATTTGAACTGATATTTTCCTCCTTGAACTGTAAGATATCACTTAGTAATGTCCAAAGTGTCCGATTCTCATAAAAGTATATAAGACGAGGTATTTAATTTTGTGTCTCCTGTCTTCATAAGTTAAGAGGATAGAATTCTTTCAAAAGGATTTCATTTGACATCAAACCCAAAAGAGCTTCCAAGACATTGGTTGAATTTTATGCTCGGGATAGTCAAAAGTATAGTCTAGTAACTTGAATTGCAAAAGCTGAAAACATGAGCAGTAATACAATGTATGCAACAAGAGAAAAATGTTGGTTTGTTTGGGAAATAAACTCTAAAATACTATTGCACTTGTGTATGTAAAATTATGACTAGAATATGGACTAGGATTTTGGAAAAAAAAAAGTAAGTGCATATTGTATTCAGGTATATGTATCTGTTCCTTTGAGTTCAAAATATTGCAAATTATATGTTTATTTTTATTAGGTTGGAAACACTTCATTTAAATCAATATGAATTTACCATTGGAGGTTACATAGAGGATATGTAATATGTAGCTTCTGACTCCAGATAAACTTAGCAGCTAAAAAGATCCTGACTTGCAAAACAAGATAATCAGAGTAATAGTATTTGAGAAGGTAAATGTAACTAAAGCAATTATTATGGAGAGTGAAAAGTGGACAAATATTTTATATTACCTCATTTGCCTGACTTTATATGATCTGATTAAAATGTTTCAGAAAAATATAATGAAAATTACTTTTAATAGCACTTGAGTATGGGATTCTTCGTTCAAAGTCATTGGGTTTGCAATAATAATCATACAGTACTAAAAGCAATACTGGTTGTGAAAAAATAACCCTTTAACCTCAAAGCAAATAATTTAATTTGTTATTCACTTTTTTTAACAAAAGCACATCTGAATTTAAAGTACTATTTTCATTATAAATGGAAGTTTAAATTCCTTTTATAAAGCATGAAGGGCTTATTTCAATTTCTAGCAATTGAACTTATACTTCAAAAGGCTTAATATTTTACTTCATCCAAAAGCATCTATGTTAGAGGAAAAAGTACTCTAAAGAGTAATAATGAATCAAAGTAATTGCTTACCATGAGATACTGCTCTGTGGGATACGAAGGTCAGACCAAAACAACACCCAATCCTTAGTAAATCTATTTGTGTTTTATAGCTCAGAGATAGATGAAGATTTTGAAACAGAACTCTCGGAAAAACAGAACTAAAATATCAAGCGCTATCCATTGCACACATTATCTAACGAGCACTTTCTCAGACTTGTGTGATATATCGGCACTAGACAGTTCAGGAGAAGGTTGAATTAGCGATTCATACACAGTTTCACTCTGAACTTCAGCTCACAGACAGATCACTTTGGGTCACAATTCTCAATGCAGGATCAGTAGATTACCAGGTATGACACAAATGAGTGTATTCAGACTTGGGCATAAGTTTCCATTTCTAGCAGGAGCTGTCTGGTTAGCACAGCAATAGTGCTTTTCTGTCAGTGAGACCCAGGAACATGCTTTCTTTGCCAGAACTCTGTCCAACACCCCAACTCCCTTTTCAGTGTAGGATGCCAGATCTGCTTTTGGGGGATTGTTTCTAGCAGCCTCCTCAAAATCCCTTGTTTCCACCATTATTCATAGCTCTCAGGAATCCCTTCATTAAAAATTCCACGCTACTTCCAGGTCATTTCTGGCCATCATATATAGGAGGACTTTAGGGACAGAAAACATGACCTTCATGTAAGTCCATTACAAACACAGTCCTTCCTTGGTGCAGATGATGCCCAATACTAGAATACCAGTGTGGTTTGTTGTGGTTATTCAGAGCACATAATCCCATGTCTATAGGCCATCAATTCCACTGGAAGGTTTTTGATCACAGGATCATTATCATGGATTGTAGCAAGCTTTGTGATGGGATGTTCTCTGAATGTGACAGTATCACTGCTGAGACACATACTCATACCCTATGATTCTCTTCTTTCAGCAAAGGAATGGATATATTTTCATTAAGACGAATGCTGGTGGTTATACTTGAAGGGTAAATTTTTTCGAGAAACAGAGACCATGTCACCTGTACTCACTCCTGCCTCCCCATTCAGTCCAGCTTGAATTAAAATGGAGTCATGAGTTCAACAGAAGTTGATGATGTCATGTGGCTCCATCACTGCCTTTGCTCAGAAGGCCTCTGTCCTCCAGGGTGCAGTGCACTGCTGATCCCTCTCTAAACGTCAAAGCCCCATTTACCTGGCTGTTCTTTGTGTCTCCCTGTGCTTTGCTACATAACAATTTGCTAAAATAAAAATACTTACTTCTACTTCTGCACATTTTTTCTTATAGCAGGAAGATATGGCAGGAACTTTTAAGCCAGAAAGTAGAAGACAGAATAATGCGGGCCAAGGGTTATCACACGCTGCATAGCCGTTGACAGAATCACTGAAGCAGAGAAAGATAGAGAGTCAAAGTTCTGCAAGGCTATACCACTAATAAAGTTTCCAGTGCCTGGCAACACACTTAGAAGAAGAAAAAACCAGTGGAAAAACAAAACCCACAAATATCCACATCCAAAAAAAGGGTATGCAAAATGAGTTTTCTTCCCTCTGTTCCCTCCCAATAATGCGATATCTGCTTCTGATCATATCAGTGCAATGCACTCATTCAAGTTTGAGAGTAAAGATTTACAGAAGATCTCAACTAATCTGGGAACTACAGTCTCTTTTTCTGTCCTGAAATTAACTCTATCCAACACACAAAGTTAAACCCAAACAAAAGGATTCCCAGTAATGGTCCAGATGAAAATGGTCTCAGGGGAAACATTTTTTTGGCAGCCTACTATTCCTTGAACAGCACTTTTACAGCTCACACCCCCCCCCCCCCCCTTACACTGGAGCTCTATATTTGGTCTCTCCTAAATCCCTAACATGATAACTCCTGACTCTAATACAAGGTGTGTGCTGAGCCTTAGCCAAAGCCCCTCAGTAATGGGCCAGACAAAACACTTCCTGGGAGACAAGTCTGTTCTTGGGCAGACCCTTGCAGCTTTATTCAAACTGGAGCTCTAGGGTTTGTCACCCTCCTAACCCTAAAACTAATCCAAGCCCTAACACTAATCCTAGGCCTGATTTGAGCCTTAGCCTAAAAGCTGCTTTCTGCAGCTTTGATATTCCTTGGGCAGTCCCTTAGCAGCCATAGTCACACTGGAACTCCAATATTCATCTCTCTCCTAATTCTAACCCTAGGCATGGTCTGACGACTGTCAAAGATCCTCAGTCATGCCAAATGAACAATCAACCAGGCATGGGCCAGGTGCCATGGAGGAGGACCCCTTGGCACAAGCCAAACACAAAAGTCCTAAGGGGACAAACCTTTCTGCAGCCTCAAATTTCCTTGTGT